GATAACAGAAGCTACAGCTATAACCTCGGCTGATCCAGTTGACATAACGGCCATCATGATTTAGGAAGATTAGGGCATATTCTCCAGTTATTCCCAGTACTCTTTGGGCCACAGCTGGCACTACAAGACCTAAAGACAGGTTCGGTTAAATATTTACCTTAAAGATGAATTATTATTATTTGTATTCAAGCATAGTTCTGTCTTTCAACTCCTCTCTATGTTTAATTGAGCGATATTTATTGAAAGAGGTTGTATGGACGTTAACTCCGATTGTATTTGTTTTGATGACGTGTTTGGTTATAAGTTGAGCGGTGTTCTTCAGTTTAACATGAAATCCCTAAAACTGTTCTCAAGACCAGATGGATCATATAAAGAATTAACAAGTTCTGTAAATGTTCTGTCATAACCCTTATTTTCAATTCCAAGATGCTTCCTTTTTACAAACTCGTGGTCTACCTCTCGATTCCTCTCGCACACTTACCCTCAGCGACATCTATACAGAAGAATCATAATCCAGAGCCTTAAACACCGCCTTAAAAAAAAAACACTTATGGAAAAGATACGTTGACGACACTTTTGTCATCTGACCTCTTAGTTTAGGCTCTTTACAAAAGTTTCTGGAATGTCTTAATTCAATTGACCAAAACGTCCACTTCACTATGAATACCGAGGGAAAAAGCTCCCTCCCGTTTCAAGACATATTTATAATTTGTCTACTCGACTGGGCCTCCAATAGTTGTGACAACAACCGACTCCGGTCTGAGAAATAACACTTGTACAAAGTCCTCCAATCAAATAGTTACACAGTCAGTTTCATCCAATGACACAAGACAAAAATCACTTCAAAATTCACAGACTCAGCTCCCAAACTTTCACAAAGGTTCTAGTTATTAAGCCGCGCCTATTACACTTCGTCAAACCTCTCTTTGGTCAAACAACAATACAAACGTCTGAACTGAAACAAAAAATAGTCTAGAACAGTATTTACTAAAATAATGCTAAACAGTTTGACAGGTGTTACCTAAGAAAAAGAAGTGTTCTCTTTATTTCTAAAAACAAACTCTAAACATACCTCGATCTATATCTAGAGGTGTCAATATAGCTTGTCCTTGAGCAGTGCTGAGAGCAAGATAGGCCAAACCCATTGTAGTGGCCAGGGAAAAGGGAATGGCGAACCATGTGAGTCCTCCGAGAATGAATCCCCAAACACCCTGAAAGATAATAAGTAATTAGTTAAAAACAAAGTAAACCATGCAGGCCTAAATGCTTCGAACTTATAATAAATTGTGAATCCCAAAATGCCCTGATATATTGAAATACATTCTTTAATTATTGATAAAAAACAAAAACCTATTAGGGAAACTATAATATCTCCAAACATATTGAGAAGGTGTTATCAGGCCTGGTTACATCTCCTTTAACTTTGGGAAGAGGGGGCAATAGAGATTTTATTGGCTCTTCCTAGCGATTATTAAAAACTGATAATACGATTTTTTAAACCGTTAGGGATAATGAGTTTGGATGGGCCAGAGTGAAATTTAGGGGGTGCACTGCCCACACCAGCACTACCCTAGTGCCGGACCTGATTGCTATACGTGGAGAATCCATACAAAAACAAATCCATCACAAAAGTCAGTGTAAAAATTTAGTTCTTTGTGAACCTTCTTACTGTACCGAACTAATGTAGAAGATAGATAATAAGACTTAAGACATTCATTACAATGGATCACGTAGCAGATTGCTTAAACTGAAATAGCAAAAAGAAAAAGGAATAAAAAAGAGAGAGACAGAAAAAATAATACTGAATTATTATTATTATTATTATATGGCAACGACTAGATATCTTCTGATTGGTCTGTTACATTATGATTAAGCAAAGTACTGAAATAATAATTTCAAAAATTGTAACGTCCGAAACATTAATGCAAATGTAATTTTTTTTTGTATATATAGGTATAAGAAATGTCGTAAAAGTTCTTGTTTGTTTTTGAATTTCGCGCAAACCTACACGAGGGCTATCTGCGCTAGCCGTCCCTAATTTAGCAGTGTAAGATTAGAGGGAAGGCAGCTGCCAACTCTTGGGCTACTCTTTTACCAACGAATAGTGGGATTGACCGTCACATTATAACGCCCCCACGGCTGAAAGAGCGAGCATGTTTGGTGGGAGGGGGATTCGAACTCGCGACCCACAGATTGCGAGTCGAGTGCCTTAACCACCTGGCCATTAACTATATGTGGGCGAAATATCAGCGACACAAACCAGTAATTAAAATAATATAATATAATCAATCATAGATGCACTGAACTCTCACATAACAAAAGAATAACAAGAGAAGACATATATACTAGGTCCAGAAGAACTGCAAGAAGTATAAAGTTGGAAAACAACAGTAGAAAGAGAAGCCAACAGATGTTAAGGATATCCCATTTCGTTAATAAACTTCCAAGTTGCATGTCGATATAAAACTGTTATGCGAGTAAGCAAAAAGAATATCAAAAGGGGAGGGGATTAAATCCTGAGTGTTTAACCCCATAACATCTCAAGTTAACTGGGTCACTATGTCTAATCTGAAATTAAGACGGATAGCAGTTATGGATAGTAACATTTTCGCCATATCATAGAGGTAAACAACTACTTAAAAAATGATTCAGTCGTTTACCTAGTAAACTTTTTAAAACATTTTTAAATAATACGTATATATGACAATAAAGTTGAGGTTTGTCACAGCCTTTCAGACGAAGGATATTCGTATACAGAAAGAGTTAAATGATGTAAAGTAAAACGATACAGCATTTTGAAGAATGAGAGCCTTAAATGTTTTTCAAGGAAGCTGAAAACGCTTTTAGGATAGCAACAGACTCTGAAATCACATCTTAAGTCAATCCGGAACAATGGTATCTCATAAAGTGAAGGTTATGGTTAGGAAAGAGAAACAAAGCTATTATGATAAAGCTGGGATTTTAAAGGCCAAACGCTTACAACTTTCCAGCCACACCTGGAAATCAAGGGATCTTTTCTCAAGAAATATGGCAATTCCATTCCATCAGGTACTTTTCAAGTCCCCGATGCATTTTCAGTGGACTTTTGTATTATTGACCTGTTTCAAAGTGCTCTTAGAACCTAATGACCACAGAGACTGAGGAGACTTTGGTAAGACTGAGCTCATTCCCTTTCCAGAAACTCGTTGCAACGAAAATTACGATGTTGGACAATAGTGCGTAGCTATGCCCATCAAAGTGAGGCATGATTGAAAATAGAGGAAGTGACTACAAGAGCAGCTCGGGACTTGGAACACCGTTATTAGATGTGTAGTTAGCCTCAGAATATGTATATATCATCCACTATCTCTTAATTCAATATATATTGTTAAAGTACATAACAAAAACATGGTGATCGAAATGTTAAGAACTATAACCAAAATATAAAAACTAAATAGTTTAACTGAAATGCAATTAATTCCCATTCTAAATCAGAAGGTCTTTAAAAACTGGTATTAGGTAGTAAAATCACAAGCTAATGACCTATAGCGGTTTACCTGGAGAGGTTTAGCAGCCACGCTACTCTGCCAATAAGACTGGTCACAGAAAACGGTACCAAAGTTTCCCACGATGTTGATGATCCCAAAGAATAAGCCACCACTGGAGAGGAAAGTTAGATAACTTCTGCCTTCGTTTCCTTCTGGACCAACAGAACACACCAGATACTGGTACATATTGTCAGAACTTCCAAACAGGTTTTCTTCATGTTCTAGGGGGTTGTAGTAGATCTAGCGCGAACAAAAATAATCACAGAAGATTAGTTTTTATAACATTTCAGTGACACTGTTAGAACTTACAAGCAAGTTTACTTCATGTTCTAGAGGTTATAGTAGATCTAGCACGAACAAGAAGAATCACAGAATATTATTTTTTGTAACATTTTAGTTAAATTACTTTATATTACGTTATTTTTTTGTAATAGCTACACACACCAGCTTTAGTTAAAACGACTCTGGTTACAGATATATTCGTTCCCCGGCGAGTTAGCGGTAAGTTTACGAATTTACAAATCCGGGGTTCGATTCCGACGGTGGACAGAACGCATACAGCCCAATGTGTGGCTTTGCGTTAAAAACAAACAAACAAATAAATACAGGTTTACATTTGTAATAAACATCCAAAATTCAATTATAATCGCCCCTGATTTATATTTTCGGATTGTATTCTTTCTTAGTCTTGTTATCGGTTAATAAAACTTTATTAGCGGAGGTGGAATATAATACATTTGTTTATGTTCTTCTACATCCAAAATTAAGATTCTGTTTAAAGTAGAGGAAAAAAGATATCACAAATTATATTATGTATTTTTTCTATCGATTATTTCGCGAGCGTATTTTCTTAGAACCACTCGAAAAACGAACTCAATTAAAAGAGAAGAAACATAACATAAACTACAATATCTATACAATCAGTAAAATATAATTTTATTTTACCTCCACAACCAGCATGATTAATATAATGAAGATGATCGTGGTGTTGAAGTATGAAACATAAAACGTAGCTCCAAGCCCACCAATCAGAGTGTAGCCTCCTATGACTGCAGTTAACATCAAGACAGCAAGCTCCACGCTGAGGCCTTCAACAAGACTGTGTAATACAGCACATCCAGCCAGCATTAAAGACGCCGTCACCACGATGTTGGTAAACCCAGCAAAGACACAGTAAGTAATGTGGGTCTTCTTCCCGTACCGAGCCTTGATAACCTGTCGGAAGTGACGTAAACAACTCTCTTTCTAGGTTTTACAAGAATATATATAGATTTTACATGTTATCTATGAAAAACAAAATAATAAATACGTTTGTAGTAATATGGATAAAACACGTGTTTATGAAACTTCACCTGTAAAAAAGTTTTGGCTCCTGGAGCTCTGGTCTTTAGTTGGATGGACAAGATGGCGAACAGAATAACTTGGATGGTGGCTCCTGCTGCGTACCAGTAGGGTCCACTAATTCCATACTATTGGAAGAAAGGGAATGGAGATCTGTGAATTTGATTTTGGAGTTTCTTTAGAAAAAAAAAGTTACTTAATACATAACACACACCAATATGGAAGAAAAGGAAAGACAATGATATACGTTAAACGGCTGTAAGTTTGTTAGGAAAAAACCTTAACTTGACGGAGACAAAATAAAATGAAAGGAATTATATATATATATATAATCAAATCAAATAAAAATGTTTATATTATTTTAAAAACTGTTTATTGTTATTGATTTAAAATAAATAAATAAAAACACACGCACATATATAAAAACATTAATACCGGTTTCGTAACTTCAGTTTCTATAGTAAGAAGCCCTCCAGTGGCACAGCGGTATGTCTGCGGACTTATAACACTAGAATCCGAGTTTCGATACCCGTGATGGGCAGAGCAGAGTTAGCTTTGCTTAATTACAAACAAACAAACTATAATAAGACACTTTCGGATAATACCTACTTAATAATAGAAAAAAAACATACTGTTTTTTTTTTACCTTAAATCTTTATATATGTTTTAAACTCTCTTTGTATGTTAAACTATGCAACATTTAACGTGATTGCAAATTTATTGATAGAATAATTTCCACGAAATAATCTTTTATATTTTTTCACAAGAATACCAAAATGGAAATACTTGAAGAAAATTTTCTTCTAAAGTATGATATATTTCCATAATACACTTGTTAATTTATTTGTTAACAGGTCAATGGGCTATTATTTACATTTTTGACACGAGATTTAAGTAAATCTATTCTTAAACTTAAATTTTCAGTTTATCCAACATATATTTGCTTACAGCATAAATTAGATAATACATAAATAACATCACATGAATAACTACTAAGTCTAAAGTTTATGAAAAATATTTTCTCCCCAGTAAGGCCTGTAATATATGTTTACTGTATGTGATATCGTCTTTTCCACAAATATAACAATTTGGTTTATTACAGAGAACAATAGCTTCATCAGATTTCTTTACATTTGTTTCTCTTTAAGATATAATGTAATTTTGGGGTTTGTTTTCAAACATTGTTTTTAAAGTTGTATCCGAAATTTTACCTTTTTTTATATAATTAATACTAATTTTAACTCTAGAGTTATGGGTAATTACGAAAGGAATAATTTGTTTTTTATATTATTTTATGGTGATTGTTAATTTGCTTTCTAAGTCTAGCTCAGTTAAAATCTTTCTTTGTTAAAGTTTCTGGATAATGACAATTCCTAAGGTTAAGATTTTATTTCACTCAGTCTTTGTTGTTGAGCTTCAGGGTTAGAAACAATAAATACAGTTCTTTGAGCTAGACAATATTTAAGTATGGAATATTTAATTTAGTATGGACAGGGTGATTACTGTAAAAATCTAAATACTGGTGTGATTTAGTAGATTTATAATATAAATCCATTTCAATATTATCTTCTTTTCTACATAAAATCCATAATAACATACTTGTTAATTCTACCAATAATGATGTGCATAGAAAATGATATCTGACAATATTTTTGTTGAAGTCTTTATCTCTTATCTTGTGAAGGACTCCTCTGTATTGTTTTAATTTACCCATCGTATGAACTACGTAAGAGTAGTGTTTGAGCATTACTAAAACATATAAATTGTTTTCATTTTTTTTCTTCTGGTAAGTGATTAATAAAATCGATATCATCTCTTATATCACTTTGTACTTTAGGCGTAAATGATTTTAGAATTATGTTCATAATATAACTCATGGTTCAATCACGTTATTTTTCCCACCTATAATGGATCTTCCAGAGATGTCTGGAGCTTTCTTTATACAAAGGTATTCCACCTTATCTTCTTCTAAAAGTTCTTTAACTTTTGTTTTGTGAATTTTGGGATATACATAAAATATTATAGTTTATCATTAGATAAGAAATAAGAGTTTTTTTTTTAGTAAATATATATGGAAATTCTTTTATATATTGCTTAATTCTTTTTTACTTTATTAACCAATTTTGGTCTATTTTTTTCAGAACGCATGTTAATATTTTTTATTATTAAGT